CAGATCTGCTTTGGTTTGTATTCCTGCATTGAGCAGAGGGTCAGACTTGGTGGCCTTGTAGGCCCCTTCCAGCTCAATCATTCTAAGATTCTGTGGCCCTAACAATAGCCAAATTTTAAAGGTAAATAGAAAGGGAAGATATGGAGGCAGTGACAGATTTTACTTTCTTGGGCTCTATGATCACTGCAGGTGGCGACAGCAGCCACGAAATTAAAAGATGCCTGCTTCTTGGGAGGAAAGCGATGACAAACCTTGACAGCATCTTAAAAAGCAGAGACATCACCTTGCTGACAAAAGTCTGCATAGTCAAAGCTATGGTTTTTCCAGTAGCGCTTTATAGAAGTGAGAGCTGGACCATAAAGAATGCTGACTGGTGAAGAATTAATGTTTTTGAATTGTGGTGCTGGCGGAGACTCTTGAGAGTCCTCTGGACTGCAAGGAGAACAAACCTATCCATTCTAAAGGAAATCAGCCCTGAGTGCTCACTGGAAGGACAGATCCTGAAGCTGAGGCTCCAAGACTTTGGCCATCTCATGAGAAGAGAAGACTCCCTGGAAAAGACCCCGATGTTGGGAAAGTGTGAAGGCAAGATGAGAAGGGGATGACAGAGGATGAGATGGTTGGACAGGGTCATCGAAGCAACCAACGTGAATTTGACCCAGCTCCGGAGCAGTGGAAGGCAGGACGGCCTACCGTGCTCTGGTCCATGGGGTCACAAAAAGTCGGACACGACTAAATGACTAAACAACAACAACCCCAGTCTTGGTCGAGGTGATGGCTTACTTGATGAATTAGAAACATAATCAAAAGAAATAAATCAAAATATAAAAACTAGAGCTAACTACCATAGGAATCTACAAGAATCACCTTCTCCTTAAAGGACAGAGCAATTTAAAAAGATTGATGCAATAGAAATGTCTTTGCCGGGTGCTGAAAATGGGCCTTCATGGTTAAGAGAGGGCATCCTGTGAAGAGGAACAGTGATGGAGAACGATTCCCGTCCCAGGACAGTTGACTGATGATGTGTTACAGAAACAGGGTGGGAATTGTTTGAAAGCTTCACGGTGGAGGGATCTGTCTTTGTCAAGAAGATGAGAAAGTGCTCGTGATCTGTAATGAAAAATGTAGGTAAGGCATGAAAGAAGGATCAGAGCGGAAGAGAGACCTTTGCATTTAGCCAGAAGCTGGCCATTAATAATTTTAGAAAAGGTCTATCTGAGTAAACAGCCATTGCACAAGGCAGGAAAAGCAAGCTGCCAGAGAGGTGATGAGCTTGGTGTTGCAAATGGCTTGACACGGGGGTTGAAGGCATAAAATCTTGAATCTCAAAGGACTTGCTGAAGCATTGTGGCACACTACCCAAATACCTACACTGCTTCCAGGGAATCTGTTGAACATCCACCCAGAAGGATTCTATATCCTTCTCCATGATGTTTCTCCATATGAAAACAACTATATAGCGTCTACAATTTACCAACAAAACAAAAATGAAATTCTATTTCAAAATATTGAAGTACTGGACAACACCAGCAATCATTATGTTAGACTGCACAGGGAAGTCATTGAAATCCATAAACACCAGCAGAGCTTCAACAAACAAGAAGAAAGTTTAAAACTCAACAAAGCTTGGCTCCCAGCTCTGAAAAATACAGCCTGCAAAAGGTCAATGAACTCTACTCAGCCACAAGGACCGGTGATCACTACACACAAAAGACCAGCTAACAGCACCCATCAATCACAGTGACAAATAATCTCCCCCCTTATCACAACAATACATCCACAACAAAAACATGCTGATCACCATAATCACCCAATCTTCTGAAAAGGACAAGAGCTGTTCCCACTGCTATACTCAACTATCCAACAAACAGCAACAGAGCATGGACAGAGTTCCTACTCCTTTCCTCTGAAGATGCCGGCCACAGAGACTGGCGAAATGTTAGGAAGAACAAAAATTAACAAGTGCTTATATCAAATGCATATCAATATATAAATTAAATAGAGAGAATAAAATATGTCTGCTGTGTCAGAGCGTAGGCTGAGAAGAAAGGATTCTAGTGATTTCAAGGTACTTTCTAGAGTCCAAAATATTGCTGCAGTAAAAGCAGGAGTAGCAGTTAAAAATCAAGTCATTCACTTTTATTGTGAAAGCTACATTCCAGGTAGAAGAGCCTATACCCTCAGCCTGACTAGGTAGACCATGAAGTGCGACGGGAGAGGAGAGACAGCATTGTCTACTCCTGAGAGCAGTGGTTCCCAACCTCAGGTCCTCAGATGTTCTTGGACTACAACTCCCCTCCCAGAAGATGCCCAGCTGTGCCGGCCAGGATTTCTGGGAGTTGTAGTCCAAAAACATCTGGAGACCCAAGTTTGGGAACTACCCTCTTAGAGAAAGAGGAAGTATGCATGAGAAGGAGAGTGATAGATGGGCTCTAAGAATATTCGTCAAACCAAAAGCTCGGGAGGAAGTAGAGGTCAGAGAGTCAAGGAAGTTAAACAAGCCTTCCTGGCATCTACCGTCAAATCACACTCCTGGTTATTTCGGCGGCAAAGCTGATACCTGGAGGACACCCGGTCACATACTTCCTTACAGCGGAAGTATGTGAGATGTTCAGAAACATGGTCTAGTTTCAATGCAGTAACCAGACTGTTGATTAGTCGGCTGACTAGAATTCAAGGATGCTGGTAATGACACATTACAGGGGAATGGAGGACATAGGAACTCCCTAAAGCTTTTTCCTAAGGATGCATGTTTCTGACTTTTTTTGGCCTACAAATCCCATAAGTTCTGATGATGAATGTCACATGCCTAGGCTCTTCTCTCAGAAGGCCCAGTGGGGAATTGAACTCCCAACCTCTAGCTCCACTGCCAGAGAACTAAACCACCGAGCTATCCAGCCAGCCCTAACTCCCGATAAATAATTTCTGGTCTTCAACAGCAGTGCCTTCTGCTGCTATGTTCTCCCCTTCCTCCCGCTGGCGAAGCACCCACCAATCTTAAATTCTGACGGGTGTCACATTCCAGAAGTCAAGGAGAGCCATTTCCACCTATGAGCAAATGACTCTCCTTCCAAGCTCCGGATGGGGAAAGGCGGCTGACCATCTTGGAGCGCAATCTGCTTGGCACCAAATTATTACCCCGGTGGGTTCATCCGATCACTTGGTACAGTTGTTTTCTTTTTATTTAACAGGCTTCTTGGAGGGGCAGCCAGCAATGTGGCTTCTGGGGTGGGGGGAAATCATAGGTCCTGTCCGGCTCTGCGTCCGAACATTCCAGGAGCTCTCCAGGGTGCTGAGCCCACTTCGGAACAAAACCCGGAAGGGATCCACCCCTCCTGCGGAACCGGAGTCAGTGGCTGGCCTGAGGTATTGTGTGATTGCAGGCAGGGTGTGTGGCGCTTGGCAGAAATCACTGGGGGAAATAGGTGTGTGTGTTTTTTTCCAGTCTACTGACCGAAAAATTATTTCACAGGCAGATGGTCGCCTGTTTTCCTCCCCAAACTCCCCTTGTGTGTTTAGGCAGGGGGTGGAGGTGGGTGGGTGTTCTTCGGCATGTGTGATGTTTGCTTTCAGCTCGACCATGAGCAACACAGAAAAGGTGGAAATTCCAGAACAGCTTGGCTAGAACAGTCGTGGGAGCAGAAAAAAACCTTGCTGCAGAACAGTGGGAGATTAAATCTGTGTGGAGTGTGTGGCATGATTTATTTATCTATTAATTTTACAGCTCCTGCCTCAATTCACGGACAATAGCTTCTCTGCGGCTATTGTTTGCTTCCATTCACCGGACAAGCTGGCCGTTCGTTCATTCTGGCTTTTTCAATTCCTTCCATATATTATTTGGGTTGAGAATTCTACGCTCAATACCTGAAAAAGAAATATTGAATTGTTTTCTTATGGCACAATCGCTCTGCAGACAGCCCTTTCGGCTTTTCCAGGTTTGGTTTTGTAGAAAAGAAAGAAAGAAAGAAAGAAAGAAAGAAAGAAAGAAAGAAAGAAAGAAAGAAAGAAAGAAAGAAAGAAAGAAAGAAAGAAAGAAAGAAAGAAAGAAAGAAAGAAAGAAAGAAAGAAAGAAAGAAAGAAAGAAAGAAAGAAAGAAAAAAAGAAAGAAAGAAAGAAAGAAAGAAAGAAAGAAAAGCAGCTATGGCAACATGGAGGAAGGGGTGGCTGCCCAAAGACCTGATAATCTAGATTTGACATCTCTGGAGAAAAGGGAAAGAAAGGGGACAGGCAGAGCCGACTGAGCTAAAACTGGGGCTCAGCTAAAGGTATCACAAGCAAAGGTAACGTTTGAGGAAGGATCCGAAGGAAAAGAAAGGCGTGGGGAGCATCAGACCAGCAAACATACAGGGGCTCATGGGTTTCATTTCTTTAGTTCAGAAAGTCCCTGCGCGTAGAAATCTAGTCTATAATTCACTCTAAGCCCGGCCATCAGAACTAGAATGAGATGGAAAAAAAGATAGAACCTGCATCTTCAGGAATAGTCTACCTTCAACCCTCTACAAAGCTATCTATCATCTCTGGAGAACTGCTTTGGAATATTAGCAAGCAACATCTGTTAGACATCCCCCCCACACACACACATATACACACAATGGAAAATGAATACAAGAGAGAGAGGCTTTTGCAACCCAAAAAGTCACACTTTTTTCTTGGTAAGGTTTTTATGGAGTTATTCTACGGCTTGATCTACTTCCTGCTAACCGAAGTCGGAGTGAGAAATCCTCTCCGCCCCTCTGGCCCATCAATACACACCAGCCTCCCAGGAGGCTACCAAAGGCGCTAGTCCTCATACCCTAGCCCAGCCTTTTCGCTGGGCAGAATCAGACTTCAGAGACGCTCTCGAGGCTTCAGGACAGAAGGCAGAAGGCTCGGATTTGAATAGGCCACGCCTTCCCCGCCTCCCCATTGGCTCTTTTCCCTCTCCAGGCCCGCCTCCTCCCCCTTTGTCTTTTTCCCCCCCTCCCGCCCGCCTCGACCTCCGCAGGGCCAGCAGAGAAGGAAAGCCTGGGGAATTTCTCTTTCTTCCCCCCCGCGAGACAAGCCGGACTGGGATCAAACCCGGGCAGGGTGGCAGAAGGCAGGCTGGCACGTTGGGATTCGGATCCGCTCCGCATCTCCTGGATCAGGCTCCGGGCACCCCCCAGAAGCGAAGCAGCGGCTCCTTATTTTCCGCTCTCTTTCCCTCTCCCCTTCCAACTTTTTCTTTCCCCCTCCCGGGAGACGAAGTTTAAAAGCGCATCCCCTCTCCTGGTCCCCCCCAGCAACGCGCCCTGCCCTCAATTATGTGGCGATAGCCGCCAGGTGAGGGGGGGCGGAGGCGCGGCCAGGCGACAGTCCGCCTTGCCAAGGCGCTAGTCTTCGTGGAGGACGGGAGTGGATCCGGATTCCTTTAGAGCCGAACATACTTTTTCTTTAAATTAAAGGGGAGGGAGAGAAACCTCCTCTGCGGACGACGTTTGCTCTCCAGCCTCCAGCGAGACAGGAAAAAGAAGAAGCAACGACATCCTTTGCCACTTCTCAATTTTGGGGGTGGGGGGGAGCGAAAGGAGGAGCCCCCCTCCCCTTTCCCGGACTTCTCCAGACACACTGCGGATTTCGCCTTCGCGGACGGGAGAGCTTGAAGGTTGAGGAGGGCGTCCAGGTTTTTCCTTGCTGGCTGGAGGGCGCCGAGGACTGTGCACGGTAAGGCGATGGCTTTTGCCGCCCCCCCCAAGGGTTGACCTCCCCTTCCTTCCTTCCTTCCTTCCTTCCTTCCTTCCTTCCTTCCTTCTATCCATCATCTGCTCTTCCTTCCTTCCTTCCTTCCTTCCTTCCTTCCTTCCAACATCTGCTCCTTCCTTCCTTTCTTCCTTCACTCTCTCTTTTCCTTCGTTCATTCCGTCCTTCCTTCGTTCCTTCCTCCCGTCCCTCCTCTCTGCCGCGGCTCGAGCATCTTCCCCGCAGGAGGCGATCGGGAAGGGAAGGCGCGGAAGAGGCAAAGCGGGGCGGGGAGGAGGCTGGAAGGCAGAGGGTGGAAACTAAATCC